TTAGCTGGGTGAGGTGGCAGACACCTTTAATCCCAGAACTCAGGAGGCAGAGGCAGGCAGATCTCTGTGAGTTTGAAGCCAGACAGGTCTACATTGCGCATTCCAGGTCAGCTGGGGCTACAGGGAGACCCCATCCCAAAAAACCAAAACAAAACAAAACAAAACAAAAAGTGTGGTATTGGAGATCAAACTCAAGGTATCACCTATGCTAGGCAAGTGCTGTACCCAAGCCACATCCCCCAGGTCTTTCTTTCCAATCTCCCACTGTACTTTGCTTTTAGCTTGAAAAGCTTTGGATCTCATCTCTGAAGAATGATTGGGTAATAAAGGACTAGTTAGAAGTGGCATCTTATTGGGAAGTTTCTGGAGATAAACAGAGTGACTTCGTGACTCAAAGGAACAAAAGTGGGAGGGCCTTCCGTAGCCAGGGACCCAAGCATGGATCCCATTCTGGCCATGAACCAGGGTGCATTCCATTTAAACTCTCTGTGCTAGTCTCCTTGCCTGTACAACAGGATTACAGGAGTGGCCACCTCACGGGTTGTTGTGTCAAGACTATAGGATTACAGTTGGCATGTGGTGAAGGTATTATGCACCTGTTATCACTCTAACATATCTAAAAAGCTACTTCTGCATAGCGGTGACCTTGATACTTTTCTACTCAGTATTTTTGTGAAGATAAATGGGTACACATTTAAATAAGGGGCTATTTATCTTCATAACAGTAGCTTAGATTGTCTATGAATTGCCCAGGCCCAAGTAACACATCTACAATGCAACCTCTACACCTAAGGCTCATGAGCATAGAACAGGGGTAAAGAAGAGGACACTAAGGAATCTCTCAGTTCTCATAATGAAGCTCCCCATGCAGCAGAGGGCCCGGAACACAAAAGGTCACAAACGGCCAGAGTGTAGAGATCAAGAGTCTGCTGAAATACTGGTTCTTGGACGGGACCCATTTATTAAACTTCACCCACCCAAGGCCCAGGGACCACCGTGGAAGAGGGGGCATAAAGACTGTAAGAGCCAGGGAGGAGGTGCATGACCATACGGAAACAAAGTCCTACAAGTTCCTGGGAACCTGCTTCTATGATTCTATGGCAATGGTGTCAGCATACACAAGTCCCGCGCAAACTCAGGGAGACAGTAACCCAGCATGGAACTGAGAAAATGAACAGTAGACCCCAATCTTATCTGGAGGAATGTTGGCAACTGAGTGCTGCTAGATGAGGAGCTGATCTTCCTAAAACAAGGGGCTCTGGATAGGCTGACTAGACTCGGTGGACAGACTTGCACTGGGGAACGGCTGGGGACACTGACAACCCAAGTGGGCCTTAATAGGGATGACTGAGTATATGGGCTCCAGTTTGGGGGGGTATGGGAAGGTGCCAGTGGGGATGGTGGTATAACGATGATTAAGATTGTTTGAGCTATTCTGTATGAAATACACAAAAATTCAATTAAAAAATAAAAATAAAGAAAAATGGACTTTGTTTTTACATAAACACCCACTATCAATAAACCCATTTAACTACAAAAAATATTTTATGAGTGTATTGCCTGCCTATGTGTAAGTGCCTCACATCGTGCAATGCTGGTAGGGGTCGGAAAAGGGTTATCAGATCACCTGGAACTAGCGTTATAGATGGCTGGTTGCTAGTCACCATGTGGGTGCTGGGAATCAAACGCAGCTCCTCTGTAAGAGGAGTCAGTGCTCTTAACTGCTGAACTATCTTTCCAGCCCCCAGGATCGAGGTTTCTAAGATGACACAGGAAATAACAGGGAAGAGATGAGCAGAATCTCCTATGGCTTCAGACTGCAGTGTATCACAGAGTAAAATGTGTAATATAAAATTTCCAAAAGTAATTCTGTAACACACAGGCCTAAGTGTTAGCCTGATGCCTGTGCTGGGAGGACATGCTCTAAAGCGAGTCTCTCTACTCAAGAGCTGTTTACACTGCTATGAAAAACACAACAGAAAACCAGAGCTGACTGAGGAAAAAAAATTAAATTTGTCTATAAGACCTCTTCTCTTGGACTGGAGAGATGGCTCAGTGGTTAAGAGCACTGACTGCTCTTGCAGAAGACCCGGGTTTGATTCCCAGCACCCACATGGCAGCTACAAACCGTCCTTAACTCCAGTTCCAGGGGAATCCGAAGCCCTCTTCTGACCTCCGCGGCATTACACGACACAGGTGCAATCACATACATGCAGGTTACACACTCATTCACATAAAAAATAAAAATCATAAAAATAATATATATATATATATTTTAAAAAAAGACCTCGTCTCTGAAAATAAACACAATCGGCTTACCTCAGAAGGGAGCTATGGGCTTGGTGAGCAGAGGTGCCGCGTCTACCAGGCAGGCTCTACATTCTGTTCTTACTTCCTCTGTGTGTCTAATAATTTTGCTTGATGCGAGTAGCAAAAATCTCTAGTTAATTTACTGCTTTATGATTTCATTCTCCATAGTGTATTTATTTTGTAACAATGAACAGTCTGATGCGTACCATCAAAACTGAACTTTCACTTTGTGACAGACAGATCAGCATCCACACACCACACCAGCACGGTATTTCCTAGAAACAGTATACGATGGTGCCAAATGATCTCACATGTCTTCACATCTGCCATCCCGTTTACAGCCAGGGGCAGGTGACTGACACACATATGCAGTGATACTGATCAATCATGACACTTCTGAAATGTTCATTCATTATCGGTTAAACTTGAATCAAGAACAAAATAAAACAAGGCCGAAATCCAAAGTCTGTTCCACAGCAGCAGCATTTGACAGAAGGAAGGATAGAACTTGAGCCAGCATCTGAATTCTTGTCTTTGTCCTTGGAGGATCTTGAGAAGTAACCTCCTTCACTTTTAAAACGATGGAGTTGACTGGTTGTCTGCAGCCTTTCCAGATTGAACCTTTCATGATGCGACATTGATTCATTTTCACGTTACAAAGTGAGACCTCTGACAGTACATACTTGGCAGCCATTTCCACCTATACAAATATAGCCAGTTCACCTTCTGAGCCCCAGGTCACCTCAATTCTCAAGTTAACAAACAGGCTTCTCTGCCAGACACAAACATGGTTTCAAGACAGATTCCAAAGCCATGGGCTATCGAAAGAAAAGCCATAATGGAAGAAACATAAGGAACCCCACAACCCACTCTGGTAAAACACCACAAGCGCTAACCGAAGGCAGGTGCAAAGGTTAGCTATATTAATAAGATAATTTTAACTCTTCTTTGTGGACATGTACAAGATATATACACAGAAATGAGGATTTTACCAATACATTCAAGGTCTGGATATATAGGGGCAGCTCTTGGATGCTTAGGACATGGTATTTTCTGTAGTCTGATGTGTTTCTGATTCTACAGAAGGTGGGATTCTGTTAATGTTGACTCCTCTCCATTACCTGTAAAGTCCACCTCTTTCATGTAATCACTGAAATTAAACACGTCTGAGCCCCATGAGGGTCCTCATCCACCCTGCTTTCCTTATCACACTTCTTCCTGTTCTGAAGTTCAATGAGGGCTTTTCAGCATTTCCCTACTTGAGAGTCAAGCAGACTTTCTGTCTTTGGACTCAGGGTCTAAATTTGTCCTATTTCTTCCTAATGTTTTAATGTAATTCCTACCTCAACTGTATTTACACAACTTTGAATATTTAACTATGATTTGCATTGCAGAAATTAATCCAACTCAATAAACATGAATGTGCAAAGGAAAATTACTTCGAAAATGTCAGGTTTTCTTAATAAACATTATCCTTCATTAAAGCACCAAAAATGCTTTCTATTTAACAGTAATGATTATTTTCAGCAACTGAATGAGCCTTGGAACATTTTTCACGTCTATCTCGTGCTGCTTTTTTGGGAACTCACTTGTCTACTGTCCACCACTCTCCCCCAAGGACCCAGGGTCTACACCTGGAGAGTCTTTTCCTATTGAGAATCTCTAACACTGAAGAATAGCTTCACCAGCTAGGGATTTATTGGGTTTTTCCTATTTATCATTTACACTGTAAAACATACATTTTTTAATCTTCACAAATATAAAATTATTTACTATATTATGTACATTACTACACATTTATCTGAATATGCCTTTCAAGTCGCTCCTGTTCCTTATGAGATTTTGATATACTTCCTTATGGCAGTAAGATAGTTTTCACTTGAGAATCACTGAATCAAAATCTAATTTCTCAATTAATTACTATTTAGGATAAAGCCTAATAACCAAGTGTGAGGACAAAATATCCAATTAAAACACAGAAATAAATTGTACTGCTGAAGAACTGAAGAACCGTGTATGGGCAAATGAATATTGCAATATTGAATATTTTCTGATTAGTTCAAAGTATTTAAACCTTAGAGTTGACAGGCTTTTTAATGGCATGCTGAAACCACCGGGAAATGTGTCTTTCACACAGGTTAATTATAGTAGCACAATATATTGCCCTTTTTTTTTTTTTTTTTTTTTTTTTGAGACAGGGTCTCTCTGGAGCCCCAGGTGACCTGGAACTTGCTCTGTAGACCAGCCTGGCCTCAAACTCACAAGGAGCCACTTCTGCCTCCTGAGTGCTGGGATTAAAGGCATGTGCCACCATGCCCGGCTACAATATATTTCATTATTTATTACTTTATGTGTATGCCTGTATTGCCTGCATGTAGGTAAGTGCACCTGTACCATGCAATGCCTGCAGAGGACAGAAGAGGCTGTTGGATCCCCTGGAACTGGAATTACAGACAGTTGTTAGGTGCCATGTGAGTGCTGGGATTCGAACTCAGGTCCTCTGCAAGAACAACCAGTGCTCTTAACTGCTGAGCCATCTCTCCAGCCCCTACAATACATTTCTTTATTTGGTAGAAGCAACGTTTGGGGTTTTCGTTGTTGTTGATGTTATTGTATGACCTACATATTATTCCTATTTTGTACCACTTCTTTGATACTTAGAACTAGAAGTTTTAGATTTTTCCAAATGAAAGGTATTAGTTTCTACCTTGTTTAGTACCTTACAGTGAATCTGTAAAGTACTGAGTGAAAGCTGTCTCCTCCTGTAACAAAGGTATCTCTGACTTGGACCACGACACAAAGATTTAGTAGGAATAGAAAATGACTGTCAGTAATGGTTCAAATGTTTTCCATCTTCCCATTGTGGCTACAGTGAAACTTCTGGATACTCTGCAACTGGGATGAGAAATACAAATGTGTACAGTTCAAAAGCAGCTTTAGAGTAGACTAGAAAGAGAAAAGAGCGAGGGCTGAGCCCGAGGACCAAGGGGCTGCAAGGGAACACTGCAGTGCTCAAGGCTCACTCTCAACAAGGCACAAGAATTGAAACTGGCATGCTGTGTGGCCTCCAACATCAGTATTCTGATTTGATGTGCTTAGCAATGGTGTTTAGCTGGATGTTGGACGTTCCTTCATATATTGTACCTTAAACAAAAGAAGCAAAAAGAACAATTAGGAGCAGATCCATAGTTAAGAGTCAAATAAGTTCTATAAACACCACCTGTGCATTTGCTATAAAACTACTAGCAGTAATGGAATTCAATGTCTCGGGAAATGGAACTACAGAACAAAATAATTCTAAGAGATAACAACTTCCCATCTGACTTGTAGATGACTAGAATCTTTGAATAGTTGAGGATTTGGCCCCTAAAGCATCAGTGCATAAGCTGGGGCAGCTGTCAGAACTGCTGTGTTTGCTCCCGTGTTGCTGGTGGAGTGCTGGACTACTCAGGCATGACCAGGTGGTTGGTTTCTGAAATTAGAACCATACTTCAAAGAACAGCACTAAACTACACCAATTGTAAATACTAACAATTGTAGTAACAGAAAAATTAAGAGTGAATGTTGTTGCTATTTTCCTGCAAAGGCCTACTGGGGCATTTTAAGAGGCAAGTTGATGTTTTCAGAAATATGAATTCATTTCCTCGGTAGGAAGAGGCAGAAGAAATCCAGCCACAAGGAAAGTCAATAAACGTACTGCAGAGATTAAAGCTGCATTTACCTAGGCACCAATAATATAAAATTGACAAATACAACAGCCCAAATCTCCACAGAGGCAAACAAAAAACAAAACATAAAAAGCGACCTACCAATCTTTGCATCCCGGAAGAATTTCTCCACAGGGTAATCCTTGGTGTAGCCGACTCCGCCCAGCCACTCAATGCACTTACTTGTTGTGAGCCCTGCGACCTACCAGAAGCAAGTGGCAAGTTACGGACTTGTGCATGATAAACCTGTGTGAAGCTCTTAGGAACACAGATTCACTGCTGTGAGCAAGTGGAAGGACCAAAGTTATTTTGTAAGCCAGCACCACCCAGTCCCGTTCTCCACACCACTACCCTAAAACACACTATCAATTCACAGCATTCCTTTTTTTAAAAAAGAAAAGAAAAGGAGACTGTTGTTTTCACTCTCATGCCTGCAACAGGCATCATTTATTGGCAAATACCTGCTCAGGGCAGGGAACGGGAAGACACTGCCCCTTCAGACCTGGTGGTCACTTAGAGACAGATTAAGCCAATAAGCACAGAAATGTGTAAACTGCACAGAGAAGACGAGCTTGTTAGAAAACTTCTGTGACTGAGATGGTAGGCTGTCTGAGGAAACAGGCTGAGTCTAAGGCTCTAACGAGGGGCATTTCAAGTTGAGGAACAACATGTACAAGGGCTCCCAGGAGAGCAGGGGCCCATTGGCCTCAGGACCCAAGACACAGCGATAAACTGGGGTCATGATGAATGGGGAGAAGACAATTGAGGGGCAGGCTGGCCCTGGAGGAAGGCAAGAAGTTCAACTACTGTAATGGCCTCTCAAGGATGTGCAGAGCAAATCCCCAGAAACTGAATGTGCTAGTTTATATAGCAACAGGGGCTTTGCTGCTGTGACTCAGGCAACATCCTTGAATTAGAAGATTGTCTTGGATTACTGGGGTGAGCCCATGTAATCCCAATGGTGCTTAAAAAGAACAGAGGGATGTTGGGGGAGTTAAGTCACTGAAGGCAACGTGACCACAGCAACAAGAGGCAGTCAGAGAGACATGTGAACATGCTACATTGTTGGTCATGAAGATGGATGAAAGGGCTGTAAGTCAAAGCATATGAGCAGTCCCTGGGAGCTGGAAGATTCGTCCCTAGAGCCTCCAGAAAGGCTGTCCTGTTAACATCATCATTTGTTCCCTAAAGGACCCATTTCACAGTTCTGATATTTCACAGTGGGAGCTACTAAAATCGCACCGTTTCACGGTACTACATCCTGGGAAACCTGCTTTCTATAATTGACAGAAACTAATATGGATATTGCTCCATTTATTATGAGCAGCCACTGAAAAGTTCAACATGACCTCACAGACACCAAAAAGACAGCAAGATCGGACTAAAGACAGCAACAGGGGTCATGAGGGCAGCTGAATAACCAGGAATTTGGTTAAGAAATGATACAGCCAGGACAGACAGGTGGCAGAGAGAGACAGACTGCAGCACATACATCCAAGAGCTCTGTTAAGGGTATGGGTTTGATGTGGGAGACAAAGGAAGGGAGGTGTCAAGGTGACTCCCAGGTTTCTGACTGCTGCACTGTGTACAAAGGTCAAGCAGATGTTGGTATATTAATTAAAACTTACAAGAGAGGTTGGGATGAGACACTATTTTTAGAGGCTGGAGAGGTTAAACGTGTGTTGGTGGTGTACGCAACCTGTAGCTCATGGGCTGCATGCGTCCCAGGACAGCGATGCGTGCAGCTCAGTACATTTGTAAACAACAATGTTAAAAGGCAGAACATGCCTAAAGCCAAGTACCAGACATCCTGGCACCGCTGGGTAAGCCTCCAGCCAACATTCCATGCGCAAAGTAGAGAGCACATGTGCATGAGCATGAAGTGCTGAGCTGCAGGTAATCTCTTCTTGGTATTTAATCTCACCTGCTCTCGTGATATACACATCTTTACAGTGTTCCCTTTACCCCAACTTGAAACTATGGGCTTGAGAGGCCATCACTCTGAGGAGGCTGCCATGGACTTGGGTGGGGCAGGCTTCAACCTCAACTGACCATTAAGGAAAACACTGAGACACCACAGAAATAAGACTGTACCTTTTCACTTGTCTATTGTAAGAAATGGAAAGTATGGATGTGAGCGCAATCTGGCTGCGACATCTCTCACCCCATTGACCGCCAGGGTTGATTGGGCTGATCTGGCTGGCTAGGAGGGTGTCCCCTTCCTCCCTCAAAGCTCCATGTGCGTCCCTCCCAAAGCTACACTGTTGGTCGAAGAGGATGACCTTTCCCGACAGAGGAGGACTGGTCTTCCGTCAAGGGTATACGAGTAGCTGCACTCCCCTGCTCGAACCTCCAAACAAGCTCTCAAGGAGTGGAGAGTCCACATTCTCTAACTTGAAAAATAACCTAAGCTCAATCAATATTCCTGGGCGAAAAGATTAATAAGCCCATGTATGGAAAAAAATGGCTGAATAACCCTCCCCCCCTTTTTTACTACCTCTGATGCATAGTATTTCGCCATGGATGCTTCTTTTATAAATGGCCTTCCGGCTTCCAAGAGTCTAGCAGCGTTGTACGTTAGTAATCTTGCAGCTTCCAGCTGGGTGGCTACATGCGCCACTTGGTGTTGGAGCCCCTGTAACATTCAGACCATTGTTAGAGAATGGCAGTTTCCAAAACACAACTACCTTTAAGACCAACTATACAGACTCAACATATACCCCAAAGAAATCCACAGCCATTTCTTTAAAATCTTTTCAAATATGCAACCTAAAATGAGAAAATACACTATAGGTATTGCTGAATCTTCTTCCAAAAATTTCAAAGCTCATAGTAATCCTTCACAGTTTGTTAAGATTTTGTTTTATTTGTTTTTTGAGACAGTGTTTCCCTGTAGTCCTGGCTGGCCTGGAACTTTCTATGTACACCAGGCTGGTCTTGATCTCACAGAGTTCTACCTGCCTCTGCTTCCTGAGTGCTGAGATTAAAGGCATGTGCCACCACGCTCAGCACTTGTTAAGATTTTAAATAATGTCGTCATAAAGCTGGGTTTTAAAACTTCACTCTCCATTTAGTAATTACTTTCAACCCTGTTTATGATAAAAATTTAGCTTAAACTAAACCCCAATAAAACAAAACTTTGAAATATTCTTTGTTAAGATTCTGATTTTTATGACCTCTACACTTTAAAAGGTGTCTGTAAAGTAGATGGAGCATCAAGTTTCTTCCTTCCACTAACTTTATCAATGTGAGTCTAATGCAATATTCAAGAAGAGAGGCAGTTGTTCTTTTTTAAAAAAGGCTTTATGTGTATATGAGTGTTTACCTGAATGTAGGTATGTGCACCATGTGCATGCAGTGACCATGGAGGCCAAAAAAGGGCACTAGATTCCCTGGAACTGGAGTTAGAGGCAGTTGTAAGCCGCCATGTGGGTCCTGGGAGCTAAACCCCAGTGCACATCCCACTCTTAGCCACTGAGCTCTTAGCCACTGAGCTCTCTCTCTAGCCGTGTTTATTTTTAATTTAATTCTGCTTGTGTATGTGTGTAATATTTGATATACATACAATTTTGACATAGAAAAACTATTATAAATATTTATATACGTACGTTATGAAGTAGCCTGACAATCAATACTCACAACCCTAGACAAAGAGAAAACCTCTGCCCCTTATGTCTTCTCACTTATGCAATTTCTTTTTGTGTTACTGGGGATTGAACTCAGAGCCTTGGGTATGCTAGGAGGTCTTCCTGCCTCAGCCTCTAGCTGGGATCAAAGGCACGCACTACCATGCTTGGCAGTAATTCTTATGCCGTCCTTTTTGTGTCCTGTGAAATCTTTTCTTGACTGAGGTCATCAAGATATTTTCCTGCTTTCCTCTACAACTTAGTTGTTTTTTATATGATCTCTTTGGTATATCTGAGTACTATCTGCGGTGGGAAGTAAAGATAGCTTCATTTTTCCAGATGGAGAGAGTACTCTTACTCTGTGGCCTGAGGCCACTTCTAATATGTCAATCTGCACACATGCAGGGGTCTATTTCTGGCTTTTCTACTTTTATTATTGACCAATTCACATATTTTATGCTAATATCACTAGTCCAGAGATTATGTTTTTTCTAAATGTGGAATTCAGAGATACTGATTGTTTTTTCAAAATACCTTCAGTTCCACTAAACTGCAGTCACCATTGTGTTGTCTGGGAGCTTGTCATCCAGAGGTTAGAAAGATGCCCATGAACACATGCCAAGTGAAAATAGTTTACTTTGGTGGGATGCAGCAGTCAGGTAAAACCCTACTGACTTTCATCAGAGCTTTAAATAGTTAATAATCATGTTTCTTTACAAGATCAAATTTCTGTTTTAAAAAAAATTATACAATGCAAGGATCTCCAAAATGTCACCATCAGTATGCTCGGTGGTTACAGAAACACGGCCTCCTGAGTTACAGGGGAAAAGCCCCGAAAGCCACTGAAATCTGAGCAGAAGCTGGTTCTGAGGCAGTAGCGTGCTAGCACACTGAAATGAAAGGTAAATGAGAAGACAGAAGTTACACAACTTTGGGAACCCCCTTCTGTGTGCCTCAGTTTCCCAAGTGCAGGATGGGGATGACAGCACGGGCTGTGGTCAGCACAGGTGATGCTGACACTTTCAGATTCCTAATCTGAAAAGCTGAAACTCAAATGCTGCAGAGTCTGAAACGTTCTGAGCACCGGGATGATGCCGCAAACAGCAAGTCCCACCTGTGAAAACTTGTTTCTTACATAAAGTTATTAAAAGCACTGTATAAATTCCTTCATACTACGTATAAGGAGTATACGAAATACAAATGAATTGTATGTTTACTTAGGTCCCGTCCCCAAGATATCTTACTATGTCTATGACAATAGCTCCAAACTCTAAAATATCTGAAGCCTGAAACACTTCTAGTCCCAAGCATTTCAGACAGCCATACTACATCTGTACAGGAAGAGCTGGGATACGAATCCAGGTCTGTTCTAGGCCCCAGGCCCCGGACTCCTGAGGTGTAGAGAGCTCTCTAGTGCTCACCAAGACACCCTGAATCTGCAAGAGGTAGCCTTGAGAACTATGGTTCTGCCCTTGGAAGGGATTAAGATGGTCACGAGCATATGGTGAGAGAGCGCCTCCTCCCAGTAAGTGCCCTTGGCAGGTCGCTTCCACTGGGTGTTAACATCAGGAAGAAGGAGAGGACAAGGCAGTAGAAACAGCTTAATTTTATACCTGGAAATCAAATATTCTTTTTCCAAATTGTATCCTTTCTTTAAGGTATGGAATAGTGTAGTCAAAACATCCTTGGGCCAGCCCTAGCATCTGTTCAAAAAAGAGAGAGAGAGAGACCAAAAAATCAAAGTTGTCTTATTTTGTCAAAAGTTTATGCTTTTATTTAGTCAAGCTATAAATTCCTTTCATAAGGAGATTGAATAGTTGGGGCAGGGATGAATGGGAGCTACAGAGCTATGGAGATAGTGAGGTGTACCGGGTAGTAATTACACAGCTTGACGTACTGCATTTGTAGAAGCGAACTTCCAGTGATTGGGAACAATGTGGACAGATTACGTGTGAATATGAGTATTCTAAATTTTAGCACAGAGGTAAGCCAGGCTACTGCTTAGGAATCTTCTTCAGGCCTAAAGTGAGTCACAGAAGTTTGGCCCAGAACTGGCCTCAAGACTGTAGACTGTTTTCCCTGTTCCCAAAGCCAAAGGAAAGTGACTTATTTTTCCCTATTTATTTATTTATTTATTATTTATTTATTTATTATTTTTGTTCTGCTTTGCTTTTTGCAGCACTGAGGAGAGAAACCAGGGTCTCAGCCACACTAGGTAAGCACTCTATCAGAGCTACACTCCCAGCCTTGGCAGGTCACTTCTTAACCTGCAATTTTCCTGCCCTTTTTATATATAATTAATCAGAGCTTCAATGGAAGGGGCATTTGAATCCAACAGAGCAGTGTTTCTCAACACTGGTTGCACATCAGAATCACTGGGGGAACTTGGTAAGAGCAATAGGGGTTGCCCACTGTAACATCAAGGTGTAATGACGAAATCCAAATCATGGGAGCGAAGCGGGATAAGCGAGTGTGGCTTAAACATCAGCATTTTTAAACCTCCTTGGGTGACTCAATGCTCAGCTAGGGTTGAGATAATCAAGAGAGAGAATTTGGTAAAAACATTAACTCACACTCCTGAAGAACAAGTCAAGTAGGGATGTGGTAACAATTTTAGTTGAACTGTCTCATTGCTAACCAATTTCCATATTTATTGAATGATCCAAGCTTAGAAATGTTTCTAAACTTCAACATTAGGTAGCCAGTAAATCACTATCTAATTATGTCAAACTATGTAGGGTTTAGAAAAAGAAAAAAAATCAATAGTTAAAGCTTTGGGGGGAAATGCCCACAAACATCAATATTTCATTAGTGTTCATTCACATTTTCTTTTAGCCTTTATTTAGCATTCTCTGGTGAACAGAAGATTATGTTAAAAAATAAAGGGACGAAACTCCCACAAACCCCAAACTAAAACAAGGCAGCAAGTTTACTGCATCTGTGGCTATAAATGATGTCATTTTCAGCATATGAATAATAGCCTATATTGGAATGAAGATTGATTTTCTTTTTGAGACAGGGTCTCACTATGTAGCCCCAGCTGGCCTAGAACTCACTATGTAGACCAGGCTGCTCTTGAACTCACAGAAATCCACCTGCCTCTACCTCCAGAGTGTTGGGATTAAAGGTGTGTGCCATGTCCAGCTTGATTTGTTTTTTTAAAGACAGGTTTTGCTATGCTTTCAGGCTGGCCTCAAACTTGCTATATGTGACCCAAGCTGCCCTCAAACTGAATCCTTCTGCCCCAAGCCTCCTGAGTGCAGGGATCACAGGCATATGCCAATACCTCTAGTTTAAACACTGAAATATCAGCTGCGAATCAAAATGGGTTTTTCTATCTCAGTAAAATGTTTTCACTTTAAATAGCAAAGAACTAAATTCTCTCCAACTGCAGGGTTTTGAGGAGCAATGACTCCCGTTCATGTTATTGGTGCCTTTTCCTCTAAAAGGCATCCAATGAGACACAGTAAGTACCTGCCCTTAACTTTTCATTAGGTTATAAGATAACTTGGAGCAGTTAGAGTAGAACCCATACCATGGATTTTACAGCCAGAACATCTATGTCATTCATATATCTAGGAACAGTAAGCCCTAGATTGGATCCAGCACTGTTGCTTTAATGTCACATCTGATGATGTTAAATGACAGGAAAACTTTAGAAAGGACAGCTAAGCCAATATTCTTTGGTAATAAAATATTGTCTAGCTTTTCCAGAAATCTAATGTTGATCCAAGAATAGTTTGTTAACCTGGGGGAATGGCTCGGTGGTAGATCAGGTGCTTAGCATGTTTGGGGCCCTGGGTTCAAATCCTAGCAACCTTGAAGCCAATAGACTTGTTAATGGGGTAACAGCAGCAGAAAAAAAATCTGGTATATCCAATATTCAACTATTTCAACAGCTAATAAATAGTAATTTACATAAAAATCTAAAAGCTTAAGTTATTAAGTCTCAGATGCTGATTAAAAACAAATATATCCTTGACTATTAATGGGCCAAAGAAGGGCTCAGGGGGCCTCCAACTCCCAGTGCTAAACTGTCTAATACTGATAGATTCAGGAGGTGGGAGAGTCACTGTCTTCAGTTGTGTGTCCACTGGTGACCCTATCAGGTTCCAATGGACAGTCCATGTCACACTGATGGCTCTGGCTAAGTGAAATGAGTTACCAGAGAAAAACAAAAGTCACGAATGTGGGAAAGGGGCAGGTAGGGATGAAGAGGGTTGGGATAGAGATAAGAGAGGGTGTAGGGGACAGAGTATTCAGAAACATCATATATGTATCTCTGTGGGGGGAGAGGGAAGGGGAAGGGAGGCAGAGAGGGAGGGAGAGAGGGAGGGAGGGAGAGAGGAACTGCTGAAGAACAAAATCAATAAAAAATACATCCTTCAAAAGTGACAATCTGTTATGGAACCAAAGACCTTACTCATTTTGTTAATCTTGAAAATAAATGGTCTCATTTAATACAAAGATGCATTATAAAAGCATTATAAAGGGCAAATCTGATAAAATATTGAGTAGCTTTAATTTTACCGAGCTATTGACTTGTAGCTAATTTTTTTTCACATGCCATCAAAAATATTTGCTCAACTTCCACATGCAAAACATTGAGCAGTAAATCCTTCATTATCCTAGGGACCTTACATAGCAGAATGACTATTCCTAGTTTAACACATTTCTAAAAGAATGGATTTCAGGTTTTGAAAAGTTGACTGAAAAAAAATGTCATATATAATACATATTTTGTAAGTTATTGGTCTATGAAATACTTTAGTGTTCTCAAAGCAGAAAACCAGTTATTATTTAGCCATTGTTTGGTTCTCTGGATTTACATAACCTACCAAAGAAAAACTGAAAGAAATAATCTAAGCCCAGTCTTCTCCTCGTGCGTGGGCAGAGTGCCACCTTGTGTCCACAGCCTCCAGATACTGTTCTTACTGAATTTCTTCCTTCTCATAGTTTAATGGCTGTATCTGACTTACCTGTGCTGCAATTCCTATTCTACCCTCGTTAAGACTTCCTATGGCGTACTTATAACCGTGTCCAACTTGTCCCAAGATATTGGTTTCTGGAACCTGCAAATACAAATGCATGCTTACTTCTAAATTTAATTTTACATAATTCATTTTGACTACAAACATATAACATGGAGAAATGCATACATATCTGAATATATGTATAGTCCCAATTTGTGTGATACTGCTCTATCACAGTACTGATTAAACTCTAATGAGATTGTCTGCTGACATCTGTGTGTCTCCTCAGACTCCCCAAGTCCACCCTGCTCACTGCTGTACCTCCAGAGACTAGCACAGTCTGTTTAATGAATGAATTTAGAAAAAAGGAATCTCATAAAATTTGTCAATAACATAAATGAATAACAATTTCCCTCTAACTCTTTTTTTTTTTTTTTAGTGAATCAGTGAGTTTATCGGGGTTATTTACAGGAGCATGAGTTAAGGTTACTTAAAGGTACGTGGGTGACTCAAAGCAGCTGCATCACCAAAAAGCTCACCCAAGCGTGAATGACTACTTATAAAAGCCGCATCTCTGGAGCTTACCGTACGATAGGTGGGCCGGTCAGACAGTCTTATCTCCACAGTAATTGTTGCTGCTTATATAGCCTTGCGGAGGGGCTCTTATTTGTATGTTAATAGTGTTGAGATAATTTATTAGAACTTATAAAAACATGAAATATTTTCAAAAGCAAGAATAACAAACTTTTCTTCTGATGTGACAATTCATCCTTGGAAAAGTTTTCTGAGAGTTAGTTGTGTGTGTGTGTGTGTGTGTGTGCACCCAGAAGAGAGAAGGAAAAAAGTTCTCTGAAGGTTATGAGTAGTTTGCGGATATGAATGTGTATGCATGTATGTGTGTATGTCCCAGAAGAGAGGAAGAAGAAAAAGTCTGGAGTTTGTGTGTGTGTGTGTGTGTGTGTGTGTGTGCACATGTGCCCAGAAGAGAGGAGGAAGGATGGATGAGCAAACTGACTACAGTGTTTCTTTATAATATAAAGAAATTAAGACGCAGAAGAGTAAAGAACACTGAGCTGTACAATACTGTGCATTGGGAGCAGGGCAGACTGGAGAAAGGTAAGAGAGAGGAGGGAGGAGGAAGGAGGAAGGAGGAGAGCTGGGAGGAAGGAGTGAGGCCCAAGAGACACACAAGGCACCTCTCTACCTCCAGGAAGATCCAGGAGCAGTGGCAGACCTGTGACGACCCACATTGCCCGTGGAAGGCTCCAGAGCCTCAGCTGCGGCATTCTGGCAGTGTTTTGTGGTGTGTGGCCAGCTGCTCTCTAGTCTCATTGAGCAGCTCCGACATCTTGTGGCTGCTGGTGTACTGACAGGACTTCCTTCTCCAGAGCAGTGTTTGGTTCACAAGTACCAAACTTACAAAGTATGAACATTTCAGAAGTACGTAAATGGTAAAAACAAAATAAAACAACAGCAAAAACCCAAGGTTAATTCCTGGCATATGCTCCCAGGTCAGAGACTGGTCACCATTTCCACTCTGGGCCTCAACTTGTGACAAACACAGTTGGTAACGACTTAACCAAGGAACACTGTTCAGTTCTACACAAGACTCTTCTGTGGACATTACCACCACTGGTTGTTTTAACATTTCTCCTATATACCTATGGATTCATGTATAGGCTTTTATTAAGTATTCTAGAACCCACCTTGACATTTTCAAATGTTAACTGGCAGGTGGAAGAAGCTCGGATCCCCATTTTGTTTTCTGTTTTCCCTATATGAAGACCTTCTGTATCCCGATCTACTAAGAAGCAGGTGATTCCTCTATACCCCTAGAAAGATTTAAAATGCAATTAACACTTGGATTTTTAAAATTCCTTGTTTGTTTGGTTTCTGGGTTTTTTTTTTTTTTGAGACAGGGTCTCATTATGTAGTCTTTGCTGGCAAGGAACTCACTATGTAGATCAGGTTGGCCTTCAATGCAAAGACTCACCTGCCTCTGCCTCCCAGGTACTGAAATTAAAGGCGTGTACTACCACACCCAGCTCCTTATTTTCATAGAGTTCAAAGTAGAAAGAAAACCAAAAGACTGGAGGGATAGCTCAGTACGTAAAGTGCTTGCTATACAAACATGTGGATGTGAGTTCAATCCTCCTAACCACATAAAGTATCAGTGCTAGAGAGGCAGAAACAGGTGGATCCTTGGGGCTCACTGGCCAGCCAGTCTCCCTCATCAGCCAGGCCCATGTCACCCTGTCTCAAAACAAAGTTGGGGAGCTAGAGACATGGCTCAACAGTTAAGAGCACATACTGCTCTTGCAGAACACCCACATCAGGTGGCTCACCACCCTCTGTAACTCTGGCTCCAGGGGATATGATGCTCTCTTCTGGACTCTGAGGGCATCTGCACTCCTGTGTACATACCCCACCCCCTGCACCATATACTGTGACACTGAGGCCATCCGGTTTACATTGCAAGTTCCAGGCCAGCTGGGTCCATAGGGAGACCCTGTCAAAAACAAAAACAAACACTCTAACCCCACAAAACCAAAAACCAAAAGCCAAAGGTGGTTCCTGAGAAATGACACCTGAGGTTGACTTCTGTCTCCCTCACACGTGCACACACACACACACACACACACACACACAAACACGCACACACATACACGTATACACCAAATCACACAAACATATGGTTGTGCACACAAAAAACAAAACCAAAAGTGGTCTTTAATTATAGAAACTGAAGAACTCTGAAGTGCAATATGTATATTACGAAACCAGAACGAGTGGAGGACATGAGTTAAATCAAGATCCTCGTGACTTCTTTTACTTTTTTAGAAACCACAATGGATAATAAAATTGTTATAATAAAATATATGATCATGAGAATCTCATTCTTTAAATTTGATATTATTAAACAAATTAGTTCAATTAAATGCTATATTAGTAAAAAGACAAAGATAAAATGTACTATTTTCCATATGAACAAAATATTCTGAAGATAATATTCTTCAATATTCCTAAAGGTAAATGTACTACACAGTATTTAAATTCTTCATTATTACACAAAAAAACTGAAGCTCTATCCAACTAAAGATTAGGATATTGGCTGGGTGTGGTGGCGCATGCCTTTAATCCCAGCACTCGGGAGGCAGAGGCAGGCGGGCGGATCTCTGTGAGTTCAAGGCCAGCCTGGTCTACATAGTGAGTTCCAGGACAGCTGGGGCTACAGGGAGACCCCGTCTCAAAAAGATCAGAAAAAAAAAAGATTAGGCTATTAGGAGATAAATAATAAATAGCCCTCTATGTAATTAATGATCATGTCAACAATAGTTATTTTAGGAGATTAAGAAAAGAGCGCAAAGATGATTATTCAAGTTTCACAGAATAAAGAACTTAAGCCTAATTCCTAAAAAGGAAGTAGACAGAGGAAAAGAGAAGAGAAAAGATGGGGCCGGGTGGAGAAATGGCTTCTTTAAACTTACACTGGTGGGGTCTGCATTTGCAAAAACCAGGAAGAGTCCTGCATGCTCAGCATTGCTAATCCACATCTTTGACCCATTGATGACATAATAATTTCCATTTTTATCAGCTCTGGTCTTCAAAGCAAAGGAGTCACTCCCAGCTCCAGCTTCAGAAAGGCAGAAGCTTCCTAACTATACATGTGAGAAAAACACACATTAATTATGCTTACTCTCTGCATAACAAATTCACTGGGCAAAATGGAACATTTGTCAGCCAAATCTTTAGTTACCTTTCCAAAAAAGTTTCTATTTATCAACATAGTATTCTGATTATTATTTTCTCAAAAGTACCTTATTATTTATTTAAGACAAAATAAGGACTTAAGAGCACAGGCTGGCTGTGTGTGGCCTTTCCTGTTCCACCTCCATGAGGACTTTCTATGGCATTCTTAACAGCCACCTGTAATCCCAGCACTCAGGAAGCTGATGCAGGAGAACTGCTACAAGTTTGAGGCCAGAAAAACACATGCCTAAGTTTATTTAATTCCAGAAGAAAGTCATTGGAACAATGGTACTGGACAATGTGGAAAATGACAGTGGGATAAATATCGTCGTCGTCGTCATCGTCATCATCACCATCATCATTTTTGAGACAGGGTCTCACTGTAGACCTTGCTGGCCTAGAACTCACTATGCAGATTAGTCTGGCTTCAAACTCACAGAGATCCTCCTGCCTTGGCCTCCTGGGTGCTGGCATTAAAGACGTGGGCTACCTCATCCAGCTCTGTTATTATTTTGAGACAGGGTTTCACTATATATCCCAAGAGGGTGTGGAAGTTGCTATGTAGCCCAGGCTGGCTTCAAACTAGCAGTCCTCCTGCCTCAGCCTCTGAGTGCTAGGGTTACAAGAATGTATTGTCACACCAGGCTAAAAGCAAAATAATTGTCTGACTGTCCTAAATCTCTATATGACAAACAACAGGGGATGCGATCTCGGTAATTTATTGAACACTGCGTGGTCGAACGATGGTGCTGCATTATGATCTTGGATTATTAAAGCCAATGTTGCTTTTCTCCTGAAAATACTGTAAACTTAGACCCAATCCATTTCAACAAGTCATTTCAACTCACTTTTTCTGTAACCAGCTTGGGAAAATAGGTGGCCTTTTGCTCTTGTGTTCCATGTTTTTTAAGCAGGTTGTTAACTATTGTGTTTTGGATGTCACACAGGAGAGCCACGGATGCATCAACTTTGGCTAATTCCTCTATCACTAGGACAGAGCAGAAAAATGAAGCTCCTGTTCCACCATATTTGGCATCAACTTCAATGCCCATCAACTAAAGCAAAGAGAGAAATAGATGAAGGGAGTTATTCATACTGGGAAACTTCTTGCAAGTAGGAGTTCAAAAATAAATTGCAACCATATATTACTTAGCGCTTCCCCCAATGCTAGGCAAGCACCCTACCACCAAGTTACAGCCCCAGTCTGCCACGTGTGTTCCTAACTTTAAATTTCTGTGTGCATATTTTAATTTGATAGAGCTAGTTTACGATAATAAATAATGTATAACAGAAACAGTATTTTTTTCAGAATGATGAAATTATACGCTAGATCTTTCTCCCCACTTTAGGCCTTAGGTAACAAAGACATAAAATATCTTGAAAAATAACTGAATGGAATAAGAAAATGTAAGTATGCTCTGAAGGTCTTTCTTGTTAAGAACATAGCCCCTCTTTATACTGATTTGAATATAGTAAGTCAAAGCAAGAAAGTAAGCAGCTCCTGGGTCATGTCTACCATTGATTTGGCATAGTCTCTCTCTCTTTTATTGGGGGGGGGTCTTTTTGAGACAGGGTCTCCCTGTAGCTCCAGTTGTCCTGAAACTCACTATGTACACCAGGCTGGCCTTGAACTCACAGAGATCTGCCTGCCTCTGCCTCCTGAGTGCTGGGATTAAAGGCATGCATCATCACACCTAGCTATTCTCTCTTTTTAAAAAAATTCTTTATTATTTTTATTTTATGGGTATGAGTGTTATGCCTGCATGTAGGTAAGTGCATCTGTGTTGTGCAATGCCCGTGGAGGACAGAAGAGGCTGTTGGAACCCCTGGAACTGGCGTTATGGACAGTTGTTAGCTGCCCTGTGGGTGCTGCGATTTGAACCTGGGTCTTTTGCAAGAACAGTCACCTGAGCCATCTCTCCAGCTGCTGGCATAGTCTCTTTTAAGTAGGTTCCTCTACTTTGACTTTTTCAGTAGAGCTAATGACTGATTCTTCATGTGGGGCCACTTCTGCAGGTCCAAGACAGGGAGCAGACCACATTTGGTGTTTGTGTGGCATACGTAACAAGTCACAGGTGCTAGTAAACGGGACCAAATTTTAGCCAAGGCTTTCCGATAATCTTCAGCTGACTGTTTGGTCTCAATGTCAAAGTCTAGAACATGAAACTTCTTCGAACTACTCTATTTTAAATGTCTTTATTTCAGAAAGGGAGCATGTATACAAGCGGTTCAAGACCTACATCTGGAGGTAGATGAAGGGAGATGCTCCCTTTCTAGACTGTCCTGAAATGGCACAGGACTGCCATTAGGTTGTGGCTGCACGTCCAGGTTGGAGGCAGACTTCGCTGACATGAAGGCAGAATCAGGAGGGAGGAAAACAAAAATGCCAGAGAACTAGATGTGACTCCCTGCGGTGAACAACTGCCAGCAATACTGCCTCTCTAAAAACTTAGCAGTGCTCCTTAACAGGAAATGTGTAGCAGGTGACCAGAGCTGAGACTAAAGGAGTTGGGGAGGGTGCAGGAGCTACTCCAAGCAAGAACAGTTTATGGAGGTGGATACTGGGTGCACATAGCACCGACTATAAGAACTACCACCTCAGGAGAGCAATTTCCAAGTTGTGAGACCTCAGGACTCTTCACAGAAGCCTAGGGGTGGCTGGGGATCACCAACAATGACAGCAGAACCTGGCTGGGAAATGGCATGGAGCCTGCTTGTCTTACATCCTAGGTTTCTGTGTGACCATTTTAGTAAGCGTGTCACTGTCAACAAAAGTTGGAAAAAAATCATCAAAAAGCTGGTCACTTTAAAACAGGAAGAAAAAGATGAGATGGCTAAGTGCCAAAGGTTTTTGGTCTGTTTGTTTTGTTTTTTGAGACAGGGGTCTCACTGTGTAGCCCTGGCTAGCCTGGAACTCACTATGTTGACCAGGTTGGCCTCAAACTCAGAGATCCACCTGCCTCTGCCTCCTGAGAGCTGGAATTAAAAGTGTATACTATCACTAAAGGTTATTTTTCAACTATCACGAAAGATGAGATTTAGGACAATGGTGCTGAGTAGCAGTGACAAGTTCTAGAATGTTCTTAGTATTAAGAAAGAATCTCTTTGCACTTACAGAGAAGGGAGAATCCAGGAGTCAGCACAGTGATTTTTAAGACACTGTCCTTGGAGTTCCCACACTGATAATCCCATACCCACACCCAGAGTAATTCTATTTTAATTAATTTATATGTCATGCTTTCACTAAAGGGCTACGTGAATTTAAAAGTTGGAAATGTGATTATTGTGGAATTCGGATATCACCTCTGCTTTTAAGTTTGCCCCACATACAAGGATCCACACAGCATAGGCCGGCTCCTAATTGTGGCAACTGCTCTGTGAACTATAGGGTGCTGTGAGTAGTGTCCCAAGCCTCTACCCAACCAGATGCTAGTGGCCTTCTCCTTTAAAAACATTTCCAACTTAAATACGTTAATTCAATTAAAAATCTGTAAATATATAAAATTAAGTAAGACTACTTAACTGAAAAGAGAACACATTTTTGACTAGGAAATGAAGATGACAGAATTATGAAACATATACCCCTTGTTGAAATAATCCTTGGATTATTGATTTCTCCATTTTTGAATTTTCATCCATGGTTGAAACCAAAGGAGCAACTTGTTCTTGTGCAAATTTTTTAACTGTAGGAAAAAGAATGGCTGATATGTTTACGTGGATAAGATATGCTTAAGTTAATAATGATAATAAGTCATTGACAGACTTCAACTTTTTAACTGATAAGTTAAAATACATATGGCTGTGCTTATTCTTTTAAAACAGAATTTATAAATCTCTTCTTTAAATACAGAAAAATGTAATCCTCTAACCTTCTTTTTGATACAAAAGGGTAATGCAGAAAGTACAAAATTAAAAAAGGAAGTCTTATTCCCTTATTCTGGCTCTCCAGCTCATCTCCCCAAAGGTAAGTAATTTAAAACTATGTCCTTCTGAAAGTCATCTATATCTATCACACATCATTTACCTGCCAGTCTGCACAGTTGCCTAAAGCAATCATAAGATGCACCTCAACCTTCTCCCTACATTTTTTTTTTTTTTTTTTTTTTTTTTTTTTAAAAAAAAAAAAAAAAAAAAAAAAAAAAAGAGGACGATAAATCTTTCACTGTGATATATCAAAATAA